GCTTTTCTTTATTTTCCAGAAATTTAATGATGAATTTCTGATTTGACTGCACGAGAACTCATGCCATTGGGTGACTAAGTCTGGCCGCTTGGCCATAATCCTTGCAATCACACATCCCTAATGATATGAAGAAGCTCTGGGAAACGCGAGAGGAATTCCGGAAGCTCTCATGTCGATCATTCACGCCTTTTTCTTGATTTCCCAGAAATTGAATGATGAATTTCTGATTTGACTGCACGTAAATGGACGCCATTGGGCGAATAAGTTGTGGCGGAATCCCGAAATTAAACAAAATCATTGGCTAGGTGTGTGGACGATGTATCTCAAGCGCATTTGAGATGACTTAATGTGATCTCCTGGAATATCTGTTTTTCCATTGTCCTGGAGGAATTTTTTGGTTTCACAAGGCCACTGACATCAGGCGCATGCGCCGAGGTTTTCTGAAATCATATCGAATTATGGGTTGGTTGTGTAGATGATATATTCTAGAGTGTTCTTCGGTGGCGTCATTTTTAGTCCAAGTAATATTCATTTTTCCATCGTTTTTGGAAAATTTTGGGCTATCTGTGCTATTGACTCCAAGCGCATGCGCCAAGGAATTCCTAAATCACAACAAATCGTGGGCTGGGGATGCGAATGATCTATCTCAGAGTAATTTGCGATTACGTAATTTTGCATCTGTAAAATATCGATTTTTCCTTTCGGTGTGAGGAATTGATGGGGATTTAGTTGTTTTTAGGTCACTGACATCAGACGCATGCGCCGAGGAATTGCAAAAGCATACCAAATCATGGAGTGGCACTGCTGATGCTATATTCCAAAAAAATCTCTGTTGCCATCATTGTAAATGTCCGAAATGACAATTTTACCAAGATTTTTCAAGAATGTTTGAGAATTTTCGAGTAATTATGCGCCGAGGAGAGAAGGGAAGTGGGTTTAACATTAATTGGATTGGTAAATGACAGGCTTGACGAATGGTATTTGGACTCCCCTCCCCCTACAAAAAAAAAATTCAATATTTCAATTTAATATTCTCTTTATTTATTTTCCCTGAAAGGAATTGGGCCGCGAGGGGCCGAGGGGGAATGTGGGAAAATGAACTACGCCAAAAAAGTAACAAAAATGGAGAGAAAAAAAAAATTTAACTATTTCCAAAAAGTTTTGTTGCGGCCCTGAAATAAGTAGTAACGGACTATGAAAAAAAAGTCGGCCAAAATTATTTTAAAAAATTAAAAATTTTAGAATGGTCTGATCCAAAAATGGAGGAGGAACTTTACACTTCAAAAAGCACCCTCTTCAATACCCTTCATGGAAAAATAGTAGTTGCGGGACACCCTGTATATCAACATGAAAAAATACCAGTGGAATTATCAAAAATTATCAGTTGACTACCGTGTTGACTATATAAAATAACAATTAAATATTGAAATTCTATTGATTGAAATTTGGATGGGAACCATTCTCGAGATAATTTAATAATTAACCAAATGAAATTTGTTAAGTTTTTACATAAGGTCGGTTGCACCAAGCCCTGTTAGCCAAATAAATCGTCTGAATAAATCTGAATAAATCTATCTCTAGAGTAAATTTATTCCCCAGTTGAACAATTTTAAGAATTCGTTGTAGAAAACTTTTATTTAGTCATTCGGTCATGAATATCGACTAAATACTTCATACTTGTTGATATTATTGGTGAGTAGCGATTATACATCGATACACTACGTTTTTTGGTGAAATAACTGAGATAAACATTCAATCGAAATTGATCGATAGATTATTTTTATTTATTCCGATATTTAATTGAGGATTTTCTTAACTGGGTTTGGTGCAATCGGGCCATAGACCCAGAAATACAATGTATTATTATCAATTGAATGGATTTCATTCCGGGATAGAAATACATGCATCTGTCATTGATGAAGTATGTCAAAAGTACATTAAAATCAATTGATAATGAACGATTTTATTCCTGGGTCAATAGAGAAATCTGACAAAATTAATCGACTAGATCGAATTCATTTTAGGGGACTAAAGGGTACATTGGTCGAATGGGGTTTGTCAAGTGGTATAAAGGGTAAATTGGTCCGTTTTCAATTATCAACAAATCAAGAGCGGCACATTAAAATTCATCAATAATTTTTTTCTTTTCAAGGCCCGGGTGTACTATCTTTCGAATGTTATCTGGATTTTTTTCATCTTTCGTAATCCAAAATTGTCAATTGAGTGGTACATCATGTAGAAATTCCCAAAAATTATGATAGAATGATAAAAAAAAATATAAAAAATTCTGAACTTTTTCAAAGAGCGTTTTTAATTGAGATTCAGAATGAGTTGAACAAAATGGAAATTACAAATATCTGATTCGCCATGGTAAATTATCTATTAGCTATCGTTTTCCATGGTAGATAACAATACACTAACTGCTCATGGGAAGTGACAGCTAGGTATCTCAATTTTCAAAACAGTGCCATTTTTATGTGATAAAAGTGTGATTAAAAAATTCTCTAAAATATTACAACTTTTTTCAAAGAGCCTTTTCCGTAATAAATGTCCCTGTGCAGTGTGGGAAAACATTTACGAAATCAGTCTTCCCCCTGCATGATATTGGGTGACAGGCCGCCATTTGTCACCGTAAATCAGATACATTTTTGAATTTCGTGTTATTCAACTTACTCTGAATATAAATTAAAAACGCTCTTTGAAAAAATTAACAATTTTTTCTACTTTTTTTTGATTATTCATTCATAATTTTTCAAAACTTCTACATGATGCAGGACTTAATTGACAATTTCAGATGACGAACGATGAAAAAAAACATCGAGATAACGTTCGAAAGATAGTACACCCGGGCCTTAAAGGTATTTTTCAGGTGTCATTTTTCGAAATGATGATCAACGAAGATCCATTTTACCTCACCTACACCCAACTCTACCGAACCAGTAAAACTAAAAAGAACCAAAAATAATTTACTACCGCTCCAGTGGTAATGTTGATGCAGTTCATATTAATCCTGCTCAGAAATCTCACGTTTGGAGCATCATCAGGATATCGCTGACCACAGTCTATCTTTAAACTATACATTCTATTCTCGTATGGCGTCTGAAACCAAAAATCCCCATTATCTTCATCATCCTCCTCACATTCCTCAAATATCTGTCAATACATAAAAAATTGAAGATCCTCACCCTGGGCGGTCCTATAATCATCCCAGTCCAGTGAGTGAGAGTCATGTCATCATCGTTCTCCAGTCCCCAACTGATAGTTCCATCCCCTACCCCTTTCTGTCCCTGCTCTAGCTCCTCTAATAGACGAAAGTTCCTCGGAACGACTGAAAGGAAGAAATTGCAATCAGTCAATTGTGACAGGAGTTGGTATAGATAAATATTGCCTGGATATTTTATAATAATCGATTGAAAATTAGACGTTTTTGAAACCTATTATTTCGGTCATGACGTCACAAATGGCATAAGTAATGCTGAGAGTGGAGTGGCCGTCATCCATTGGATAAGGCGCACGTGAAGATTGGGTTAGATTGGTTTGAGCCATTCTGTGATTGGTCGAGCGTTCGATCACCCTTGTGATGTCATTAGCGATTTCAACGCATTTGAAATTTTCAACTTTCGTCAATCAATTATAAATAAACGATGAATATTTATAATGTTCATAAATAAAAAATTAATCATTTAACGCGGCTCAAGCGTAGCTATATACAGGTTGTAACTTTATTCGTAGAATACCTCCCGGGCGCAGGCCCCCCTTGAATGCTAGAAAAATGAAAAAAAAATTAATGATTTAACCAATTTTGAGTAATCAACGATTAACAGAGGCTAATGAGGAGGCCGGTTTATGGCGCGTAAGAGTGAATGGTAAGGGGTTGAGTGAGGTTTAGTAACAGGGAGTCTATTCTCGAGTTGAAATCGTGTGTTCGATTTCAATAGGTCGCATGCGACTCGTAGTACGTCTTAAAGGCCGTTGTTGAAGTCGAACGTACGATTTCAATTCGAGAATAGGCTCCCAGAGCGTTAGAGCCACTGATCTCTATACTAACTGGATAGACTATCCTTCTTCTTCTGTTCGGTATGGTTATCCTCTGACTATTGTAGAGGCAAGCACCATTTCTCCTCCATATAATGACATCTGTCCAATGCTTCGAGAAACTCGAAATCAGGACAACTTTCAGTTCATAAAATCCAAAAGGAGATGTCAGAGAACTCTCATAGAGGGAAGCACTGATTTAAATCTACTAGCAGCTTGACTCGAAAACATTCCAAAATTTGTTTTGTCTTGATGTGAATGTCCAATATACTGGATCCCTAAATCCCAAGGTCACTGTTTGTTTTGAAAATCTTTATTATACTGTCCGAGCCTTGGAATGCGAATTCTGACCTTCGAGGAGATTCGATTCCAAAGGCTAAAATAAAATATCGTCCAAACACTATCAATTCATTGAGTTTAATTCACTGAATGAAAAACTGGATGAAAAACTTAATTCGCTATCAGATTTAGTTCTTCGGTCCTATAATTAATTTTCAGATGTGATAAATTTCTGGTTTTAAAATTCTTCGAAACACTTAACCACTGATGGAACAATCTAGCACTTAAACTGTCCTTATTGAATTTCCGGGGAGTCCGTCGACAACTATTTAAAAATTGTTGTAAATTATCGGAACCGCCAACCTTTACTTTTGGAAGAAAGAAATGAAGATATAGGAAAAGGAGAAAAGAAGAAAAAAGAAATAAAAGAAGGGGATAGAAAGGAACTAAAAGTAAAGGGACAAGGTAGAATATATTCTACGAGGCGGACGAACATCTGTCTCGTATGGCGGCTGCCGGCGAACTCCATAGACTATCCTGTAAGACACTGGTGGCCCAAGTTGGACGTTTACCCAGTGCCTCCGTTGTACGGTCTAGGAACTAAGCGCGCCGTTAGCGCGCTTGCGCGACCGTAGTCGCATAGTGGAGGGTCGGTAATGTGACCTGGTAAAGTTGGAAAATTGAATGGACATTTTTCTGATGTTGTATTAGACAATATCGAGATTTGAAGGGAGGATTTTCATTGTCGTCAATTGAAATGATAACTGGGACGATTGCCGGGGGGAATAAACACAGAAAGTGGAAAAACCATTCATCTTCCGACAAATTCTTACATGAATATAAATCCTCTTTTTAAAATAGATATTGTGTGGTGCAATGAGGTGACATTATCGTTACAGGAGAGGATGAAACAAAAAGATAATAGAAGCTCGATTTTGATCAGGTTTAAGTGAAATAGCATGGGCGGAGTGATAAGGACAATTCCATGCAGATCTAATTGAAATATAATAAAATAAAATAAAAAAATCTAATTGAAATAATTCTATCTTTTTCTGCAATAGAAAATGACACGTGGGATTTATTAAAATTATTTTTCATAATTTCAAGGACTAATACAATACAACAAAGACATTATTCAACAGACTGTGCGAGTTATATCACCGCCAGTTTTATTATTTTATCACCATTAGTGAGCTTCTCATATCTCCAAATTATTGCCTTGCATTGTCGAATGCAATTCATATTTACTCTTTCTTTTTATTATGTTTGGAGCCTATGTTTCATATACATTACCTCCTGCAATATCTCCTTATAGTTGCATTACACATTTCACTGATACAAAATCAGAAACTTATGGAAAGACAATTCTTCCGATTTGGTGGATCTTTTTTTGCAGTATTCACACCGAACCATTTTTGTGAAAGTTTACAGAATGGAAGGAACGAATTATTTCGTAAACTCACTGACAACTGAACTCTTCCTAAAGACATTCGTCAACAGGTAATGCCCAGGTATTCGTTGTTGATTGGCAGTCATACCGAAATGACAGATATTTGGGGGTTATGGGACCAGAAAAATGACAGTCAGACAACCATCCCCACTATCTAGCATTCTAGTCGCGCAAGCGCATTGGGGCATCCTGTAGTTCTGAGGCCATACAAGGGAGAATGGACCATATGAGAATGGTCTTCGGTTTTGGTTAGAATTCTCCCCACTCCCATGGTAGGAGCTACGAACTCGGAATAGTGGGGGTAAAACCGAAGACCACTCTCATACGGTCGCGACGATATTCAAGGCCCTCAGTTTCCAGCAGGGTTGCCAGATTGGGCGACTTGGCGCCAAATGGGCGACTTTCAACTCACGTTTGGCGCCTTATTTTGATTGTTGGCGACTTGGCGACAATTGGGCTACTTTCAAATTTTAGCAGTTAGAAATGAAATGTATGAATATACGTTTTTTTTTCCATAAAATGAAGAGAAACTCTTCGTTGCTAATTCGTTACAATTCTACCTCATATTCTGGTAGTCATGTATAACTTACGGCTCTCGAGAAACAAGAACACGAAATATTATAATGTCCCAGTTCAACGATTGTGATCACAGACCTCACCATGCTATTTGTTTATCAACAAACGGTACAGATACTATACACTGGGAAAAAAAAGTTCGTGAAGACAGTGAAGGCTACCAACTTAAATTCTCCCCAGTGTACATTCGCACTTTTGGAAATGCGGTAGTAACTCTCGATTACTGCCAGCGAGCCGACTTAAACTGATTCAGTTATCAGATACTCGTTGGCTTTCTATTAGTAGTGCGGTTGATAGAGTTTTAGACCAATGAGTTGAGTTGAAACTTAATTTTGAAATTGCTGCTAAAACTGAGAAAAATTACACGGCGAGGCAACTGAACTCGATGCTCCAAGATGATGTTAACCGTTTATATCTCGTATTTTTAAAACCGATTCTTCACGAGATGCAAAAACTGAATATTGTATTTCAATCTGATAAAGTTGATGTAGGCTCTGCCTCAGAGGCTATGTACCTGACGTTCCTTACTTTCGCTAGCAAACTATTAAAACCTGCATTTATGGTTCAAGTTCATGATGGGGTTCCTCTCCTCAATCAGGTATGTGATGCATTGAAGAATGAATTAGCTTTTTTACCTGTTGAGGCGGTAGATTTTGGGCATGGATTTACACGAGAATTGTCCGAATATCAAATAGATTCAGTTCCAGCTTTGAATTTAAAACAAAGATGTTTCAATTTTTTAAAAGTTCTCTTGGATCAAATGGCTCAGAGATTGCCCGACAAAACAGATATTTTTAAACAGTATAAATTGTTCAGTCCATCAACATGTTTGAATCATGATAGGCCAAAATTCGCCAATGTTTTCAAAATATTGAAAAACTTCATTAATTCAGAACATGATGAATCATTGTATGAGTTACAGTGGGATAAGCTTTTGTTTATTGAATGGAAAAAGCTATTGTCTGGCAAACAGTCATCAAATATCGTTGAATGTTGGGCAAAACTTTACGTGCATCAAGATGCTTCAGGGAAATATTTTTTCAGAGAATTAGCTGCCGCGGTCATCAAGATGTTGACTGTTCCAACAAGCAATGCTTGCGTCGAGCGAGTTTTTTCCATCATGAACTTGACAAAAACGAAAACAAGGAATAAAATGGAAATGGAACTCCTACAATCACTGTTGCAAATTAAGGTACATTTTCAAGTTTTTGGTAAATGCTGTTCCACGTTTGAACCGACTCCCACTATGGTAGGACTTTTTAATTCAAAAAATATGTACACCGCAACGACTGACAGTACAAGTGAAGAGACACGACAAATGGAAGAAGTTTTCAAACTCTTCACCGAAGTGGATAATTAAGGGAAAAGTCGGATTTATTATGAACGTTTTAGACTATAAGTAGTTGAAGTGATGTGAAAGATTTTATATTTGATATATTTTGTTTTCTATGAGTAAATATACCTTTATCATGTAATGATAATTTTATTGTATCCATTACATATGTGATATGTTAGAAAATATGAAATTCTATGTGACAAAAAAAGTCTAATCTCATCGAAAATGACTATTTTGGCTTGTATTTGTAATATGCTATTACGAAAAATAACTGTTATAGAAAAATATTGGCCCTTGATTTATTTGACTAAATAAAATGATTTTATAACATTAAATATACATCTCCGTCATTTACATTCACCAACTCATCAATAATATACATGTATATATAGATGCAAGTGATGTTGACATTGATTATTTAAATGAAAAAAAAATAATAGTGAATTTGGCGATTTTTTGGCGACACTAGCGTCGACTGGTGGCAATTTTGGCGACATAGAAGGTGGCCGTTGGCGACGAGAGCTCTCATTTATCTGGCAACCCTGGTTTCCAGCGTACTCGGCCCGTAAGGATAGTCTATCCAGTCAGTATAGAGATCAGTGGTTAGAGCTGTCGAAACTTGAGAGAGAGAGAAGCGGAGTGAATTTCATGT